TTATCTGTCTGCCTGCCAGGACCAATGTGCCATTCATCCTATTCAGATACACCGGAGTGGCAGACTGGCACACACACACAAACAAACACACACACAGGCTGGCAGAAGCCTCTGGAGTGCACTGGATGACAGCCGATGTCTTTTGATACGGATTGTTTACTGTGCAGCGCTGTAGTCCTCGTACACAGAATGCTGAGTCCACTGAAACACATTCACCTCGAAACAACCAGAACAGGTGACCTGGCCAGTGGACGCTTCTGGATATTAAAAACTGTGGACATCTGTTGCTTTTCTTTTGACCGTCTAGTCTTTCAGCACATGTGATTGGGGGACGACGAGGGCAAAATGAGAAGGCTCTGTGGGGCTGACAGTTGTCAACATAAGTCATGTGGTTTTCTAACCATCTGCTTGTGGCTCACAGACCTCCTGTAGTATAATCCTATAACCAATTTAGATAAGAGTTTTGTTATGGTTTGTTTTTCTTCTTTGCAAACAAAATGTGGTCAACCACATCGGTAATAAATAAATCTCCTAATTGGCCAACATAAAACGTTATGCTCTGGTAAAGACTTTGTCAAACAATGTTAGGGCGTTCTGCTGGCTTGGTGGTCTAATCCGCACAAGGACATACTTTTCAGTTTTGATTATATATTTTGTCGGTCTTAAACATTTCTTATATAGCTCAGGGTTACGTCATGCCAATCCAAAATATATTCAGTCTCACATAAGACAAAGAAAGAACCAAATCCTAACAAAAAAGCTGAAACAATGAATTAAGTCATTTTTGCTTCATTTAATAGATGCATATGGAATTTCTGAGGAGATTTTTTATAAATGTTCTTATTATTTTAGCTTTAATCCTTATACCATGTCGTTTTTCTGGGTTCAAACTCAGCCTAGGGGTCTTTCTTTGTTGCATGCCAGCCATCCAAAACTCCCAGTTTTTGCATATAATTTAATCTCATCTCTTAATATTATCTTCTAAAGACAATCCTGCTCATGAAGCCTTAAAAGTAATGGTATGGAACCACAATGTGATCTACTGTTGTTGGTCTAAAAAAAAAGCAAATGGCAAGACAGTGAAGAGAGCAGTCTGGCTTTAAAGTGCATATCAACCAGATGAGGCAGCACTACGTGGCCTCAGCCAGCTGGGTGAAAAGAACACATCTGGCGAGCCGAGTCAAATACCTAAAGATGCCAAACTCTGTTGAAATATTTTGGGCGAAGCTGTACTGTTTACCTCAAACATGCAAACAGTAAACACATACAAAGAGATGGTTTGCAGACATACAGTACTGTACACTAACATACTAGCTCTGCATTTCAACACAAACAAAGTCTATTTAGTCACAAGGCCACCACCAATATATATAACGAGACAGGAAGAATGGTTCCTTTTATTTTAAATAGCCTAAACTGTATGCATTGCTGACTGTGGTTAGGATGACATGTCAGTTTGCAGATGCACAAAACCAATAATGCCCTTTCCTTTCATACTCACATTTACCACTCTGTTGTGAACTATAAGACAGTAATCTTGCCAGCAGCTATATAAAAAGTACAATAACATTTTGTATACATATTTCATTTTCATACAGTAGCTCTGAGCTCAATGAAGTTACCAGTAAATGGGAATCCGTTTTTTCCCCACTTATTTTAGCTAAAATATGTTATCATACCTTTCACAATCTTTAATGATGCAGTGTCATCAAAACATTTAAGGGAATAAGCTGACATTTGAGGGAAAAAACAGTATTGTTTTTATGTGTTAAATGAGAGTGTTATAAATCTACTGGCAGCAGCCGGTTAGCTTAGCAATGTCATATTGTTGCTTTTGGCTTTCCAAAGGCAACAAAGTCTTTCCAACCTAACACTAATAAAATAAACATGTATGTTGAACACATACTGTAAATGAAACATATGGCATTCTGGGAGGATTGTCCGAATACAATTATATTATACAACAACCCCTATCCACAAATGAGCTGACTCATGTGTTTCAACTAGGTAATCTTGCACTCATCTGTACCTTAAGATTCGTCCTGTCTTGTTTGATTCTTGATTGAACCAAAACTATGGTTACGAATAACAAAATGTCTATTCCGCTTACTGCCTTATTTATACGAGTTAAAACTTCTCCTCACAGTCTGTAACTTTCCAAAGAGTAGACAGAGCATTGCAAGATGTGTTGCTGCTGAAACATGAATGTAGGGGAAAACCCTGGGTGGGTCTTTGGACAACGAATGGTAATACTCTTTTCTGGCTTATCCATAGCCTAAGTCCTTGTCTTTACGTTTTCACTCACTTTGCATTTCTGCAGCTTGGCAAGCACACAGGCATCTCTCAAAGGAATGTGCTTAGTTTTGGACCCTTTTTCTTCCTTTCCCTCACATTTTTGTTTCCCTATTCCTTCTTCAAGCATGCACGTGTTGAATATTAATGGCTCTCATGACACACAGACACACACTGGGTGGACCTCTCTTTTGCATAAACATTTCCACAGCGAGGAGGACAGCTCAGATGTCTGAGCTCAGAGGGCAGAGACTGCGTTGTCACGGATACCATGATGTGTTTGGAGGGTTTTCCCTGAGAGAAACCCAGGGGTGCCCAGGGTGACGCCGCCTCCTGAAGACATGCCGGAGTCCTAATAGTTTGCATATGAGCGGTTACATAACTGATATCTCCCTTTGAATCCCAACACGACTGCACAAATTGTAATGGAGGGTTAAATAAGTACTGGTACGCTCCTTTCGGGGAAATCCATAAACACTCAATTCTAACATCTGCTTTCCAAACATTTAAACACTTAAGGGTCAATTGAGGGCATTGACAAGAGTCCGCCAAAATGGAAAACTCAAAGTCAGCTTCGATGAGTTTTGGGAAACTGTTGGGACAGCTAACTGGGATGGGCCAGGAATAATCTACGCAGAGGACTGAAATACCAGTTTCATATGAATTCAGCAAAAGAGACAAAAACACTGCTGGAAGGAACACTAAGACTTCAAGGAGTGTTCTTCTTGTTTAGTCTGTCTTTATTGTGTGCAATTATCTCTCTGTCTTCAGGGCTTTATGTCCAATCTTAAGAAACCAAACTAACCCCGAAGCCTATAAAAACAAAATAAAGATCATTACATGCATCAAAAACTGAATATTATTTTTCACTTTCTTTACAGCATCTGCTCATATTAACACTAACCCCCGGTACCCCCCTTCACATCCATTTAAAATCAAATGAATTGCCCTGCATTGTATTGCCTATGCCGATGTAACTAAACCGGGGATCCCAGCAATGAATGGAACGTTCGTTTTTCGAAGTCTGAGAGCGTTAAATCATTTGATAAACATTTGAATTATCCTGTTTACCCGTTTCATCAATTTATGTGTATTAGTGGTATTGTGCTCTGCTGGACATTCTGACCTGCTGCTGTAGCCTGCACTGTCTTTCATTGGCTGGAATTATAATCACATCACAGTGATAATCTATGTTGCTTTTACAAAATGTACAATGACATTTTTCACTGGCTTAATGGGGACTGCTAATGCATAATGTTTGTGACATGTAACACATGCAAACTGACACAAACTTCTCAGGTTTCTTTGTTGCAGGTAGTGATATATGACCCTGATGCAAGTGTTCAATAATTCAGAGTGTACGATGTGTATGTGCATCCAGAATCCTGACGAGGCACCAAACACACAAGCAGGACACCAAAAGAGAAAATATATTCTTGTTTAAGGCTAATAGTGGTTAAGTAAATGCAGGGGGTTTGCCACATACAGCATGACTCAGAAGACGGAATAGGTAAAATACACTGTCAAGTACAGTCCTGGTACACATGACAGGACAAGTTAGAGACTCTTTTATTTTTGCATAAAGACTGCTGGTTGGATCCCTGCAGGCAAAGAAAAATAGAAAAGCCCTTGTGGAGCGTGCCAAAGCACACTGCCACTGCAATATTTGTATCAACACGTATATTCGTTTTTTGCACCCAGGGATTAATGAAAAATTCCCAAATGAAAGGAAAACGGACATCTCTATTGTCCTTATATCTTTTAAGCCATAGAACACACCTCTCATTGATCGAGATAGGGCTGTCCTGGAAATTCTTCCACCAAATGCAAAAGCACCACTTTTAAATAAACATTAAAAAAAAATATGAATTGACTGAAGAAAATAAAAAAGTAGAAAGAAAAGAGCAGAATATTGTAGAAAAGAGCGTGCTAGAATAGAATAAATTAGATAAAAACAGAACATCGTAGAATCTAATACAGAAAATTATATATTAGAACAAATCATAAATAATAGAATGGATTTAAACAGAACAAATGCATAAGAGAACAGAACATTATAGAATAGAACATACTGATAGAGAAAAGAGTAGATTATAACAGATCATGATAGAAGAGATTACAATAGAATAGAAGGAAACATACAGTAAGGAATCAGTGTGTTTGTGTCCAGACCACCATACATAATATTCTGTGACCAGAATATTCCCTGTGTGTGTGTGTGTGTGTGTGTGTGTGTGTGTGTGTGTGTGTGTGTGTGTGTGTGTGTGTGTGTGTGTGTGTGTGTGTGGGTGTGTGTGTGGGTGTGTGTGTGTGTGTGTGTGTGTGTTCGGGTCCCTCACATGGTGGAACAACTGACAGCAGCGACCACAGGTGACAGCCAGACGGGGGGATTATTGGGTCTGCAACACTTGTGTTCTCAGCCATCACTCATTCAGCTCACGTCACTATCCTAACAGCTCTGTATTCACTGAGGCTGCCTGCAGGGAGGATAGATCCTGCTCAAAGTACGCACACACGAGTCAACCCCTCACTATAACTGTACACAACAAATAAGTATAATAGGAAAATGCAGGGTTGTTACGTTAAAATGGGTTCTGATATGTTGGCAGCTGTTGTTAATACCCATCCTTTACCCCATGATAGGCGTTTCTCCAGTTCTTCTTGCGCTGTAAAGTAGCCAAAGTAGTTTTTTTTTGTGCTTTTCTTACCTTTAAAGTGTCTTATCGTCCTGTGGAAAATGTGGTAAATGTCCAGTCAGACAAGATATCCAACTTCTCCAGCCTGCTGATATGGTGGCGGAGCTGCTTTTCCCCTCGACTCAACTTTCAGCGGCTACACTCCCCGCAACTCTGGAGTCATTATTCCCGGAGAAAAATACTTTCTTTCGGCGTAAATGTCAAGCAGTCATATTGACACGGGAAAGTGACACGGTGGTCCCGGCTGTGTGTCGGTACATTCAGCTGTCATCACATTAGAAACGGGAGCAGACGAGTCGCTTTGCTCCTCTCCATGCCTACATACAACAACGCCACCCACTTTTTCCAAAGAGACCCGTAGCTGGCCCGGGCTGTGCCTGACTGAAAAGAAAAGGAAACTGGGTCCAAAAGTTCAGCAGGACCTGAATCATTTCACTATAACTCAACAAGCGAGAAACTGCAGGATTGTTTACTTTCAGACAGATTTTTTTTAATAGACTATAATAACCAATAACAACCAACCAATTACCAGGAACAAAAGTAGCTTACAAATACAAAATCAGAATACAAATCTGAGATATTTGTTAGTATTTCCATTTTGTGGTACAACATTCTAATACTAAGACATTTTGTACCTAACCAATAATATATATAATTACATTCACAGAGGCCCTTTTTTGTACTAAGTCTTTATTATAGCTTTCATTCATTATCAGTTAATATGCTGCAACTGAGTAATCGATAGCTTTCAATCTTTCAATATCTGAAAAAAAAGAAGAAAAAAATGTTTGCTGCAGCTTTAATTTTAAATGAACAGGCCCCACTTTGAATGCAGGACTTTTTTGTATTATTACTTTTTTTGTACTAATAGTTTACAAGTTAAGGATCTGAGTTCTTCTTTCATCATTGCCAATAACAGATACATCCTCTCAGAAAGCGGATCCTCATTTAAATTCAGGTCATGAGGCCAGAATGCATCTGTGTATTGAGATTGAGGAAGCCTTCTTAATATGGACCTCCTTAACCTAGGAGTTTATAAAGAATGTTTAAATACTTAAGTTTAACATAGTCACTGTAACCTAATCATAGACACTTCAATTATGTCATCTATTGCATGTCAAATCAAATTGATAACAAAATAGAAAAACTTGTTTTTGAATCGCAGGGAGTGTATCAATTTCTCCATGAACTGTTCCTCAATCCATTAGCTCATTCCTGAGCAGGTCAGCACATGTTTGGGGCACTTCACCAAGTAGCAGTTTTAAGTAACACTATCTGTTTCTAAATAATACCATCTGAGTCTCCTATGGCATATACAAGATTGCATTTGTTCAGCATGACAGAAGTCAATCTTCCGACACGTAGGAGAAGGTGTAAGCAGTAATCTTTGTGTGGCTTTACCCTCAAACTTTAGCTCTTTCATTTAGAGTTCATTAAAGCAATGAAAGCCTTTTTTTAGATATAGAAAATCATAGTTGTTGAATAAGGGATTATATGTTTGGTAATCCAATTCTCAGCCTTGGCCATTGTGTGCTGAGGGTGTGAATCACTGCCTCTAGTTTTTTTGCTGCGTCCGCAGTAATGACAGCTTCCTCATATGTGATCTTGAATGTGCCGAACAATAGCAGGAAACAACGGATGCTTTTAACTTTAGGTGCTGACGCGAAAAAGGAAAGATACAGGAGACACTAGGCCCAGTAACAAACACACATGTGTGCAAACGTAGATCGACTTCATCATAACATACAGTTTAATACATGGTGTCATGTAAAAAAAAGTACTGGAGCTATCACGATACAAAAATAATCCATTAATTGCTAATGAGTATCTTTTCTTTATCCATTTTGTATTCATTTGTTTTAAAGAGTTAAGAAAAGTATCATGCAAAATATGACTAATATTAAGGAATGTCGTCATAAAAATCCAATAATTAATAAAAATGTGTATATTGTTAAAAAAAAGTTATAGAAACAGATATCCTAACAAAAATATTTTGATAGCACTATTGTATGTAACAAATCGGCAACACAATTAAAATAGGAGACAAATACTAATATTTAACATATATTAAAAGTTAAACCACATTTAGCAAAAGAGAGAACAGGTAAAACAAAAGAATATATATATTTGCATTCATGTTTAAAAATAATACCATAACACTTTCAATATTTCATTGTATCACTGTCCAGTTACTAACAATCTCCAATGGTCATGTTTTGCCTTGAACATCAAAAAAATTATCTTGTGTAACGATTCAAGTATTTTTTATATGAATCATTTGTGAAGTGCTTCGACTGTAACTTCCGATAAGGCCTGGCCCATCGATGTCATAGAACTGCATAAACTCTGAGTCAATCAATGTGGGTCAGGCAGTGTAGGAGATGGACCTCTGGTGGGCTTCATTGACGCCACATCCAGTATGGCCAACTTCACAAACACACTCATACACACAGACAGACACAAATGCACACACACACACACACACACACACACACACACACACACACACACACACACACACTATGGCTGAGAAGGCTCCAGATCAGTGACTCTGTATGAAATGCCGGCTTTGTCTTCTCCCACAGTGGCCGCTTTTCATTCAGGGCCACTATGTAGGTCTGTTGTTGTCTTTCAATATTTGCTGCCAGTTGATCGGTGCCATAATGCTCTGTAGGCAGAGAATACATTGGGTGTTGTACAATCGCCTTATTGTGTCTGCTCTGAGAAACATCAGCTGTGACGAAGTGTGAGAATAGACTGAAAATGAAAGTTATTGTACTAATGGACTGATAGTTGAGCCGATGTCAGTAAGTGAGTGACTTGTGACTATTGTGACTCAATTTTATCATGACAGTGGGTTTGATGAGGCATGACTAATATAGCTGAGTTCATTGTTTTTTCTTCGCATATGACCATTACTAACAACAAATTGCTATTGTCAATGTATTATAAAAACGACTCATGTATATTATTATTGTGCTAGATTTATAAAAGTCTCACTCTAGTTGTGGCTGGGATTTAACATTCCCACTAATAAGAATCAGGAGGAACAATAGATTAGAAGACAAATAAATGCTTTATTCTTGGGGAACGTTGAGGAATCTTATTTGGATTTTGTTAGCTTTTAAGACACAGCTAAGCGTCAGACATTCACAGCAGGGTTTATTTCGTACATTACTTTTAAATCTCCTTCTCATAATTACCAGAAACCTTACTTCAGGTATCTTAATGGAAACCATTTCAAAAAACCCTACTGAAGTTGAGACGAGGGAACAGAAAGTGCTACAATTCTAACACATTTAAGGGTTTTAGGACTCTTTTATGCACCATATTATTGGTAGTGTATTCATGGAGATAAGATGGAAAACCATTTTACCATTGGAATAAAAATGTAAAAAGAACGGGATGTAAATCCTTTATTTGAGTAGGTTTCATGTATTAATGTGAGGAAGACAAATGTAAAGCTTATTCTTTATCTGTGGTGACACCAGACATATTAATAACAGGATTTTGATGTAATGGGAATAGTTTGCAAGATATAAAATTAGCCATATTTATAGTAAAAAAACAATCCAAAAATATTTAAAGTTGTCTCCATTTGCCTTCTGTTAGTGTGTATATCAACAATATGTTTTATTTGAAGACTCTGTGCCTGTAAAACCCTAGAAAGATCAGCTGGAAAGTAGGGCTGCATTGAATTGGCGATAATAATCGCTCGATGGGTTTGATTTAATATCAGATTGGGTTGTTTTTCCTGGTTGGAAAATCATAACTGTTATTTTTGAGATAGCTGAAATCCAATATTTCCCAAAAAAGCAACAGCCATGTTATCATCCTTCCTTGTACAACAGTGACATCTATTGGTGTACTTTATTTAAACACGGGCTGAAAGGTCAGCAGGAAAAAACATTACATTTTTCCACGGAGTCATGCATTATTTCCAGAGGACCAGAGGAGATCTGAAACCTCCCACATGTTAACGTCAGACATGTTTGTTTTCATTTCACATCATAGTTTCAAGTTCAGTTTTCCATATGACAATATTACAGTAATAGTCTGTAACTGTGTAACTGAATATGCTGCAATTATCCAGGGTGGAACAACTTGGTGCTATTTAATGATGTCCTCTGCACTTCTTCTTATTTCATTAGTTGTAATTTCTCCTGTTAAAAAAGGCAGACTTCTTTTAGTTTTTACAATTGTTTTAGGGTAGATTGAATAAAGTTATATTTTATTTTTGGCACTTTTGTTAATATAGTGAGCATAGAGAAGATTGTGTTATTTAAGTGCCATAAAGCACACTATTACTGCAAATAAAAGCAGAAATGCAAACTATATGGTGAATGATGACGGCAAAAACCTTGTTTTATTTCACTTTTAATTTTCATCAAATTATAGTAATCAAAATCCAAAAAGTCCTTTACAAATACAGGATAGCTGTGTTCATACAAGTCAACACTGTTACATAAATACACCAGGTTTGCAACATTCCTTAATACAGACACACAAAACAAACAGAAACACAAAGGTTTGAAATACATAATCATAGGACTACAAAGTTAAAATGACATACATATATAATGGTCACGTATCATTTTCATAATGTGTATGTGTGCGTACAGTATGTGTGTTTTGTGTGAGATTTTCAGTATGTGTGTATATATGTTTGTGTGATATTGTCCTTATTTCATCTGGGGCCGAGCTTTAATGGGGCCTTGGGAGATGAGTGGTTCTTCTTGCCGTTGTGGGGCTTTGCTTTCAGGTTTTGTTTTGGTGCCGTTTTCAAGTAAAAATGAAGCTGTGAGGGGAAAAACAAGGTGTAAATTGGAATATTCCTTGTGAATCAGCTGTTATATTCCTGTCTTATGCACCCATAGATGCCCTGTTCGTGCACATGGGAACATACCTGTATGGCCTCAGCTGGTCCCACTGTGACCGTGCTGCTGTAGGGGACGTAACCCGGGGCCGATGCCGTCACAGTGTAGGTGCCAGGTAACAGAAGTCTGAAATAGTCGCCATCCACTCCTGTAGGAATGCAAATAATAAAAAAGGATGAGATAGTCCAACTTGTCTGATTCAAATCTAAATGTTTTATTCATTTGTAAAAATTACTGAATGACTTGATGCGTCTTCTTTGTTTATACAAAGATACTGTTACACTGGAATTCACATTTTTTAGTATCTTGTTATTGGCCACACTGGCACTGTTCAGCAAAAGCTAAAAGGTGTTTTTAAAGTATAAAATCAAAGGTACCCACTTTTCGCTCATAATTGCTAAGGTTAAGCTACAGTATTTATTATTACAGATTCAGTAAACCAGTATATCAG